CAATAAATAAATACAATAAAATAAAAGTTGTAAAAGGCAAAGAAGAACAATTGGCATGAGGGAAATGTGAAAAAGAAGGGGGAAAATGTATGTATATTCATAGGATAGTTAAGGTGATTGTACTACTAATTTCTATTAGTTTTTTGAAGGTAACAGCTAATGATTGAAATGTTTCTTTCAGAAATTTTACATGTCTGTATCATGTAATCTGATCAACTCTATAAAGACAACAATGTGAAATATAAATATGATGTTCACTATTTATCATCTTTTTAATTGTGTATCATTTCTAATATCTTACCTATTATTTTTCTATTATCATTAAAATAAAAATAGACTTTGCTGTCAGCATTAAGAAACTTTTTAAATTAGTGAGTAAATTAATTAATTCCATTTAGGCATTCCCCAATGTATACATATTTCAAACAAATATAGTATATGTGAAAGATATCAAAATTCTGAACCTCAAGAATTATATGCTGTCTAAATGAATCAGGTACAAGTAAGAGAATAAAAACTTCATATTGGTAAAAACAGCAAAAGAACATAAATGAAAACAAAAAAGAAACCACTCACATGATTTCAATTAGGAATATTACTGAACATTTACAGAAAAAATACTAGTTTGTCACAATTATTTTTCAGAGAATTAAATTGAAACATTTCACTTGATGTCACAAAGACAAATAGAACATCTTTTCTAAGCTGAAGTTCCTTTGTATACCACTGACTGCCCAGAATCATGAAAAGATGGTAGAGTAATGGTTTGCACAAGATCCGAGAAAACAGAAAATCATAGGATAATGTGGACCATTGCTCCCACATGCCATTTTTGCACAGTACTTCATGAGATTTTGTATGAGATTCTCCCTTTTGTACAAACAGGCAATTCCTTCCACAACCACTGAAAGTAATGCACTTCTGTGAGGTATGATTTAGATAAAGACATTTCTGAGCCTCACTAGAAAGCAGGGCAGCCCAGAAGAAAGGAGTGACTTCTCACATCACCTGAATCTCAGAAGTACGCACTTCCTGCAAGTCTTACCTGCAACATGGTCCTTGCTGACCCCTGCAGCCGATGCTGCACATCTGAGATGAGCGCCCTCACAGACTGGGCCTCCTGGGCCAGCTCCTTTTCAGACTCAGCCAGGTCCCTCAGAACATCTTCCTCCTCTTTCTTCAGTTTTCTCAGGTGCTTTTCCTCCTCAGAGTCCAGGATGTTTCTCATTTTCCTAAACTCAGCCTGGACACCTTCTATCTCCCTCTGTATTTGCTTCTTCAGGGATAAGAAAGAGATAGGCACTCAGTCAGAAGGTGCTTTCCAGCCAGAAAAAAATCCCTCTTTTCACAGGGAGGCTCTCAGGGGAAGGCTGGTAGGCAGGAGCAACTCTTAGGGAAGCAGAGTGTTCCTATGATTATTTTCCCTTCCTGCAGTTAAAATTCATGACATTCAGACAACATTCTCAAGGCTCACCCTGACCCCAGTGGGACACCCACACCTCCCAGTTGATCACGACCCCACCCATCTCCCTGATTTACTCCTCATTCCTCTTATGCACTCCCTGCCAGAACTGGAATATGGAAGACAGACACAAGATTCATTGTCAAGTGTCTCAATAAAATCCTTCTCAAAAACCAGCAAGCCCAGCAGCATGGCATTTCTTAACTACTTTGCCTGCAGCCCATTCCCAAACACCTCCCTCCCAGCACCACACTCATTAGGGACAATTACTCTACAGACTGTATTCCATGAGGAAAAGCACACACAGGATTTATCAAATGATTTGGGGACTGCCCAAGGACCAGAGGATAAAGAGGGCACTTCCTCCCCCGGCCCCTGCTGGGTTACACCCCAAGGAGGTGTGATCTCCTGCCTTCCAAGAAGTTTGTTCTCTTTCAATGCGAGCTTTCCACTTCTCAATCTTTTTCTCATCCTTCATCAGCTTCTTCAGCACTCCACGCAGCTTCTCCTGTGAGAAGGGAATCACAGCAGAGTTGAGCCATGAGCTCCTCAGCACTCGGAGAGGGAATAAACGTGGATGAAATCTAGGTGATCTCATCCAAACCTCAGTTCACTAAAAATGAGCAAGAGGTGATGACAAAAACAGCAGAGAGGCGAAGAATGCCCTCTTTATGTCCCTAGGGAGTTTTTCTTTAAGTAGAAAGCCAAGTGCCCTTCACCTAGTGTAGACTGATTTTTTTCTGTCCAAGACAAACCTGAGTCTATATCAAAGGGAGAACTCGTGTCTGAATCAGTCTTATTTATTCTTTTGTGAAAATAGTTAATCAGAGCTTCTCTTGGGCACCAAATCTCCACTAATATACTACACTTCACATGAATTTTTGCTTCTGTCTAGGAACTTTTACTCTAAGTTTATTCTATTGCCATCAACTGATGTGTATAAAACTTACATTGGGCTAAGTAAGATAAGCAAAAAATGGACAGAAACCACAGACCTGTGTTTTTTGTTTTTTTTTTTTTAAAGGTCTTCATGGTCTCACTACTAGATCAGACTCTTAGTGATCCACCTGTTTACAGTCTACCAAGAGGTGGGATTACAGGAGGCCACCATCACACCCAATATCAATTTGAGCACCACCCCCCATTTTTTGTAACGTGAGTTCTGTGGTGGGAAACTAATAAACTGTAGTTCACAGGGAGGTTTTCCACCAGGTACTGTTTCTTAGTCTACCTTTCCATAACTCTGATCTCTTACCTGATATTCCTGTACAGCGTCCTCCATAATAACTATGTGGCGACTGTGATACTTCTGAGAATACTCACAAAGCCAGCAAATAACTCTCTCATTCTTCTTACAGAATAGCTGGAGTTTCTCACCATGGAGGTCACACAGATCTGACTTTGGAGTCGGTGTCACCTTGTTGAGCCTGTCCACTATGTTGGCCACATGTCGACTGGGCCTCAGGTTTTCAAACGGGAACAGGAGTCGACACACTGGGCATTGGACAAATCCTTCATATTCTGTGAACTCATAGCTTGAGGTGATGCAGTGTTTGCAGAAAATGTGGCCACAGTCGATGCTCATAGGTTCTGTCATGAGCTCCAGACAGATGGGGCACGTCACCTCCTCCTTGACATTCTCCAGGAATGAAGCCATAGAAGCCATTTTCTTCTCCCGTCTGTTCAGAATCACAGTGTTCTCTGGATCCTGTGGTTGGGGAAAACTGAAGTGGGGCACGGTAAGAAAGGTGAATGGTATAGAGGAAATAAGATCAGAAATATTTTTTGAAGCCAAAAAAGAAATGATAACTATAATGAAAGAATTACTAAGTGCTTCTAAAAAACACACTGATAAAAAAAAATAGAGGAGGGGGGGATCTGCCCCTTAGCTCAGTTCTTTAAGTGGCTGCTTCAACAAAGCAGTCAGGCTCAGGCTGCTGTGGTTTGATCCCCACAACTCAAGCCAGCCAAACTTGCCCTGAAGGTATTTGGAACAAAAAAAAATCCTTAAAAATTAGAGGAGGATAGAAAAAGGATGTAATCCTTGAATGAACAATATAAGAGAGAAATACAATACATGAAACAGATTCAAAAAGATACACAAGAAATTAAAACCTCAATCACAAGCTGGCAAAACCGCTTGAATGAAAGTAAAGATAGAGTTTCAGATCTTTATGAAACCATCCAGCTAGTGAAAAGGTAAAAAAAAAGATCTCTTAAAAACAACTAGGTTGTAGGAAAAAGTAATTCAACATCTGAAAGATGATACAAAGGTGAACAACATAAGACTAATAGGCATCAATGAGAAAAGAGTCAATAAAAATGATATAAAAAGAACATGGGCAGAAGTAATAGCAGAAAACTTCCCAAATATGGGGAAACAATCTGACACTCTGGTAAACGAGGCATATACAATACCAAATAACTTCAACCCAATTAAAAACGCACTGAGACATATAATAATCAAGATCCCAGAAATCCAGCACAAGAAATGTGTACTAAAAGCCACTAGAGAAAAGAAACAGATCACGTTCAAAAGAAAGACCATCAGAATAAAGATAGATTTCTCTTCAAAAACCATCTAGTCAAGAAGAGCACAGAGAAAATACTTCAAGTCCTTCAAGAAAGCAAATTCCAGCCCAGACTGCTATACCCTGCAAAACTCCCTTTCAAATTTGATGGAGAAGTGAAATACTCCCATGACAAAGAACAAGTAAAGAATTTCATTATGACAAAGTCAACCCTACACAGACTAATAAAAAAGATATTCAAGAGAGAGAGCAAGATGAGCACAACTCCACAAAAGAGAATAGAAAGAATCAAGCAAATACGGCGAACAATTAAACACAGGAGAAAAAGGAGTAAACAACAGCAGGTAAGCAACATGTCACTCATAAGTCAATACATCTCAATTATAACCATAAACATAAATGGACTCAGTTCACTAACTAAAAGAAATAGATGGGCAGAGTGGATTAGGAAACAAAAACCAACAATATGTTGTATAGAAGCAACACACAAAACTCATAAAGAAATTCTTATGCTGAAAGTCAAAGGATGAAAAACAATCCTTTGACTACATGCCCCAGCAACTCAGAAAAAAGCAGAGGTAGAAACATTCAAGAGGAAAAGGTAACACTAATAATATGTATCTGCCAAACATGGCAGCACCCAACTATATAAGATAAATCTTAATTGACATGAAATATTTAATATCCAATACCACAATCTTAATAGGAGACCTTAACATCACTTACCCACAAAAAATAGGTCAAGCAGACAAAAAATTAGCAAAGAAGAAACACTGAAGTAGAACTTTGAACAAATGGACTTAGTAGACATACAGAGTGTTCCGTCCAACCACTGCTGAATACACATTCTTTTCAGCTGCACACGGGGCATTTTCTAAAATAGACCACATATTAACCCATAGGTCATTTTTAAGTATATGGAAGACAACCAAAATTTCCCCATGTATATTATTTGAACACAGTGCAATGAAACTGGAAATAAATGACAAAAGGAACCAGAAAAATACATGGAATCCCATAAATACATGGAAATTAAAGAACACCCTCCTCAGGAACCAATTTACAGATGAAATTAAACAAGAAATTAAACAATATCCACAACAATGAAAATTCAAGCACAACTTATCAGAATTTATGGGATACAAAGAAAGCAGTGCTTAGAGAGAAATTTATCAATGTGAATTCACGCATTAGGAAAACAGAAAGGGAACAAATACATACACTAATGCTTCACCTCAAATGGCTAGCAAAAGAAGAGGAAATCAAACCCAAAGCCCAAAGACAGGAGATATTATAAAAATTAGAGACCAGATTAATACAATTGAGACAATCAAAACAATACAAAGAATTAATGAATCAAAAAGCTGGCTCTTTGAAATATTAAATAAAACTGATAAGCCCCTACCTAACTTCATCAAAAACAGGAAAGAATAATCATAAATTCAAGCAATGAGGAATGAAAAGGATAAAATTACCAAAAATCCTGTGGAAATTCAGAAGATCTTCAACAGCTATTTTGAGAATCTTTACTCTCACAGAACTGAAGACAGAGAAGAAATGGCCAGATTCCTACAAAGGTAAAAATTACCAAAACTGAATCAAGAAGATGTAAGAACTCTCAATAAACCAATAACAGTCAATCAAATTCAAAATGTAATAAACTATATACCGACAAAGAAAAGTCCAGGCCCTGATGGATTCATAGCTGAGTTCTACAAGAAATTTACAGGGGCCAGGGAGATGGTTCAGTGGAATAAGCACCTCTCTAGCAAGCACAAGGGCCTGATTTCAATCTATGGTTCTGAAAAAAAAATTTACAGAAGATATAATCCCAATACTCTCAAACTCTTCAATGAAATTGAAAAGGAAACAATTCTGCCAAAATCATTCCTAGGAATAAGTATTATACTGATTCCAAAACCAGAGAAGGGGCTGGGGAGATGGCTCAGTGGAATAAGTGCTTCCCTGGCAAGCGCAAGGGCCTGAGTTCAATCCCTGGTTCCGCCAAAAAAAAAAAAAAAAAAAGAAATGGAGATATTTAGGAACACATAGACAGAGGTGCTGGAAAGTCACTGCTTCAGGATGGGCAAAGACAAAGATACTCCAAGCCAAAACCAGAGAAAGATGCAACCAAAAAAGATAACTACAGCCCAATGTCCCCATGAACATACATGCAAAAATCCTCAATAAACTCCAAGCAAATAGAATACAGCAAATCATTAAGAACATTATACACCTTGACCTAGGATTCATCCCAGGGATGCAAAGATGGCTCAATATTTGCAAATCTACAAATGTAATACATTAT